GCTTAGTATTATAAAATTTCTTGTCGGATATTGACTTTGTCGCAGCTCGGGGGTTTAGAAAAATGTCTCGTGACAAAAAGCGTTTAAAGTTGAAGGGGTTTAAATGAGATCATTTACATAGTTTATGCGCTAGGGATTGAAACAGTCTTTTACCTGTTGTGATAAAGTACATCATTTTATGTGCAATTTAATACAAAGAATAAAAACAATGAGAAAATTAAAAGTAAAGTTTAAAAATTTGATAAAAAAACCCATAGAGTAGACAGTTTTTAAGATTTCAAAGAAAGTTTTCATTACGTATTTAATAAAAGCAATTTCAGATGAGCTCAGAACAGGTAAGGTAATTATTAAAACCTAATTACCACATAAACATTATAGCAATAGTACCACTACAATAAGGGGCACAATATTTCTAATACGCTTGTCCCGAACGGCCTTATAATACAAGTAGGCATTGTTTACGGCCATTTTGCGAAGGTTTTATTGCACTCTTAGTATCCGTTTGTGTTCGACATGATATATCGCCAACGAGCCGATATCCAACATAATACCTTTCCACAGCTCTGTCGAAAACGTAACATTTATACAAATTATATTTTTTTAATGTGTTATTTCAATAGATATATTACTTGTGTGATTAAAGTTCAGTGAATCGCATCAAACGACAAACCTACGTTGTCAATGATTGTATCCGATTACAGCAGATGAATAAACTACAAAATATTTAACACTAGTTGTTACTCGCGACTTCGCCAGCGTGCAATAAAAAAATATAGCCTATATTACTCATAGATAAATTACCTTTCTAACGGTGAAAGAATTCTTAAAATCGACCCAGTGGTTTTTGAGTTATTTAAATACATACAAAAATACAAAGCTTTCCTCCTTTAAAATATTTGTATAGAAGTATAGATTTCGCCCTTTACGTTACCATTTGTTCACGTAAAAGTATGTCGTTCATTTTTCATTAAAATAGAAGAAATGATATTTTTATGCAATTGTTTCTGCAGAAGAAATTCATTCTACGCGTATTATATTTTTATTGTGCGTTTTGTAGGCTTTATTTTATGCCACTTTACCTTCCCACCCTTTTCTTATGAGGAAATATTTGCAAATGTATTTGGCGGAGGTGGACGCATATTGAGGTAAAATGTCTTCTTTCTATGCTTCACCTCCTGCGACGATCATTGGAAGGCAGTGCATCTGAAATTGCGCTTGTTTATGGGCAGCGGACGCATCGGTTCGACGGTTTCCACGTGCTCGTTTATCACTTTACAATATTAAAATTGAATTAATAATATTCTAGATTAACAATAGTCGAGTATCTTCACATATAAGCTTGTAAATAAACTAACGTATGCTCCTATTCGTTAATTAAATCTACCAAAGTTTACGTTGTTTGCATTAAGTGGATCTGAAATTAATTAAAACTGTCACAAACTTACCTTCACGTAGCTAACTTCGTCTAATATTCATCTCATTCATACGTAGATAAGTTTCAAATTAACATGTATCTTCCAGAAATTGAAAGGAAAATTACAAAATAGAAGAAACAAGTATCTTTACGTTAATTAAAACCGAACTTACAACATAAGATAATTTTTTAAAATTTCATTTAACTTTAATTAACAATTTCGATAAAGTTTGTATTATTTACGAATTCATATACAAAGTTCTGAGGGCTTATCATGACAATTTTTTCGTAACGTTATACATTAACAGCTCCCCAATCATGCGTAAAGAGCACTAACAATCTTTCAATATCATACAGTGTCACGTGAACATTCGTGATAGACCCTCCGGTATAAGTTTGAGAATGTAACTAATACGATTACACAGTTAATTTTATACTATTCCATTTATGATAACAAACGCAGAGCCCAGAATAGAACGAGCTGGGCGCACTGTAGGCACCCACCCCATTGCTAGGATGTAGGAAATTAAGTCATATTTCTCATATCAAAAATTAAATTGTCACTTGAATATAGCATGTTAATAACTTATCTCCGCGCGCTTTCTAAGTTAGTAATTCAAGTAGTAATTATGTTCACAGCTCGAGTTGTGAGAACTTGTTAGCTCGCGTTATTACAATTATGATCTTACGAAGAAATAGTTTAACAATCTCAATAAAAGTTCTTTTCTTATAAACATGTCGGTAATTAACTATACGAATATTTTCTAAATTAATCTAAATTAGATAGTTTGTTATTGATTATTCAAAAAGTAATAGACCGTATACAAAATTATTTATAATATCTATATTTATATTGTAAGGAAGAAAGATTTTTTTTATGTATGCTTTGAAATAACTAAAAAACCACAAGGCTGATTTCAATAATTATTTCAACATTAAAAGCTATGTATCAGCGAGTAACATAGGCTATATTTTTTATTATTTTATATTTCACGTGGACGAAGTCACGAGCATTAGTTATAAATAAGAATATAAGAAAAAAGAATAAATAAGAAAAAATAGGTTAGTTTGTTTTGCATTATTCAAAAACTAATAAACCATTTACATTATTACTTTAAATATTCTTAATAAGAAGTTTTTCTACAAACTACCTTGGATTTATTTTTACCCTAATGACAGCAGGGTAAAGTGTTTCTGGAGTATTAAAATACGAACGAAATGTCTTTCGATACATATTTGTCAATCATATAAATATTATAAATGCGAAAGTTACAATGGATGGATGGATTTATGTTAGCGTTTAAAGCCTAAACGGCTGAACGAATCTGAAATTTGGCACAGAGTTACAGCGTAGTCTGGAAGAACACATAGGCTTTTTATCCCGGGAATAGTTACGCTTAATACTCGTATTAAATTAATATAGAAATTGATAATTGTGCCATGTAAAAGTCTTGAATATCGCAGAATAAGTTATCTCCTTTGGTACTCGGAATTGTTTTCCTTTTAAATAAAATATGATAGCTTTGAAACAGCGAGCAACTCTACAAGTAGAGTGGACGACAAAAAAGAACTTGACCTATTCAACGTTATTTAATAGTTTTATTTCATAAGAACAAAGTGCCACTCAACGTGAACTACTATTGTACAAATTCACCTTGTTTTTGTCGTATATTTTTACGAAATTATTAGATTTTGTTAGTCTTTAAGAAGAAATTGAAATAAGGTATCCATTATACCATTATCAACTACATCACCGGCTGTATAGCATATAGCCGACCGTATAGCAATACGTACCCACTGAGGGGGTCATCCCAAGTTAAGGGTGACTAGGCCGTAGTCAACTACTTAAAAAATTAATTTGAAATTTATTAATTCAGAAATCTACGTTTTTAATGTTGGGAAAGGTATTAAATCAGTTTTTAGTAAATGACACATAAAAGAACTTGCATATAATAACATATTAAGATTTATAATAAATCTGTCCATGCTACAATTTTGAATTGAGGTAATATTCTTGTAAAACTATACTACCCGCTCTGGTAAGACTCGTAGGTTAATATATTTCAGATTAAAAGACTAAGTAATAGTCGACTCCGAAGGTATATAATGTGCTTCAAACAAAGCACTTTAAGTATTTCCAATTTAACAGATATACCAATTAGAGTAAGTTTTATAGCAAAATATTAAATTCTTTTTAAGAGAGAGGAAAACAAACAAAGGAAGAGAACATTAATTGCTTTATGATTTTCATATTTTTAACAAGCTGTTTCTTTGTATATGCAATTTTAATTTTTAACCAGTAGTTCCTTTTTGTAATTAACTATGTAAGAGGGTACTTCAATATTCACAGACGAGTAATATTATAGTCAAGCGTAACAAATTTACTTTTTTTGTGGGGTAACTCAACGTCTTGCAAGTACTTAAGATTAAAACAGTGACAGAAATAACTGACTAGAAATTAAAATACTTTTTTCTAATGAAAATGCATTAACATCTATTGTGAATTTTTAACAAAAAAGTGGCAAGTCATTTTTAAGGCTCCTCGGGCCCATTTTTAATAGTGTTGTGCGTATAGTGCGCAGCTGGGCGCGCCGCGTGGCAGGAGGCGGCGGCCGTTTCGGTAGGCGGCGGCGCGGGCGGTGCGGGCGGCGCGGCGCGGCGCTGCTCCGTGCCCGGCGACCACCCCGGCGCCCGGCGCGACCCGCGCGCCAAGTGGCACCGCAACAACAGGGTAATCATCAAGAGCAAACGCGTCCCACTGCATGGCACAGCTCACCGCGACAAAAAAGTACGAATCTTCAATACCGACGCCAGGATTCCCGGTTTAGACCCCTGTCGTAGAAGATACCCCCTGTAGACCCCTTTTAGTTGTCTTGTCTAGAAATATCCTTTTCTAGTTTTCTTCTTTAACTTGGTAACCATCTGTCCAGTAAATTTCTGTTTGGTGTCTTTCTATTCTTTATGAGCCATGTAAAAAATACCGACATTTTTTCAAACTGATATTTTGTTGAAAACATATTTATTGTTTCCAAAGAAATGTTGCTTTGTAAAACATACTATTGGGTTTGTTTCTACATATCTCATACTTCTTTTCTATCCTGTATTTAGGTTAGTAACCCTTTTAATAAAACTTTTAAAACTCTTCAACGTTTCTATTCTAAAGTGATCGCCACTATCTGAGTTTTTGAGAATCTATTCCATTGTTAACTTAAAAAATCTAATAAAATAAATCTATAATGAAACTAAGTAAACGATTATCACAAAACCACTGACTTAATTGGTAATGTACTGTAATTATTTTGTATCTTTCCTGTAGTTTTAAAAACAGTAAAGTTTTTTATAATTATTTTTAGTATTAGTGCATGATAAAATTGCTTTACTTTATTTTACTCTGCTAGATTCCTTTTTTAATTATTTAATTCTGTAATTAGGTTAATTATACGCTTAATTAATGTTTTAACTTCCTAGATTATTTCCTTATTTAGTACAATATTTTAAAATTTATCAACGTTTAAAGCTGTGCCTGAAAATTTAATTTTAACACGAAGCAAAAAAAAATTCAGAATTCGCTTTGCTATTGCTAATTTTTACTAATGCTTAATAACTTCAAGAGATGTATGCTAGCATTAACTTAATTTAAGTGAAGCGTTGTTATACGAAAATTAGTACCAGTATGATGTTATTTAAAAGATTATTTGAAGTCCGGAAGACTATAAGAAGTATTAAAATGTTAATTTGTGGTCAAAGTTATTCGTGACCGAGATAAGCTCATGCCAACTCTACGCTGCTACGTGTAGCACTGCTACGCTACATGTAGCAATGCTACGCTACATGTGGAAATGCTACGATACTCGTCCGTAGTACAATTGTAGGGATTTCTGGTCCAAGTGACTGGATAAAAGTTTTGGGCATTATTATTAATTACTATGGGTCCTCAGGTCCGCGATGCGTCGTACGGGTCATCCTCGGAGTCAGACGGGGAGGCGGAGGGCGCGAGCGGAGAGCCGTGGGGAGTCGCACGGCTGCTATACGCCGGCCTCGCCACGCTCGCGGTCGGGCTCGTCGTGTATTTCGTTGGAACCGGCGACAAGGTACATTGTTAAGATTTAATAGTAAGTAATCTATACTAATAGTATCAAGAGGAAAGATTTGTATTTTTGTATGTATTAAAACAACTGTAAAACTACTAGGCCGATTTCAAAAAGTTGTTTACTATTACGTGCTTCATAGCTTTTAATGTTTTGTGAACAAAGTCGCGAGCAAATGCTAGTTTATAATCTGTTTTAAGAGTCCTACTTTCTTTCCTTCAAGACCTAGGATATTATTTCCCTCTTGATGTTCATCTACCAAGGATAACAAGAAACTCAAACGCAAAAGTTTTAGTAAAACCTAGTATTTCCATTTTGATAGCATTTAAAAATCTAATCTGCTCAGTTTCGAAATATATTTTACTATCTTATCTTACTTCTTACCATTACTAAATTACTATTACTAGTCTTACTGTACAAATGTATCTAATTATTAATTACTATTACGAATGTTGTAAATACGAAAGTTTAGATGGATGGATGTTAGAGTTTGTAGTAAATTGCTGAAGAGATCTTCATGAAATTTGGAACAGAGTTAGAGCATAGTCTGGAAAAACACATAGGCTACTTTCTTTTGTTTTTTAACTCCACGTCGGAGTCGCGAGTGAATGTTAGTAGTATAAAGTCAAAGTTAATACCACTTTATCAAAATTAAACATTATCACAATCAAATAAACCGGAAGCAGGAAACTTTCAACACGCGAGAGAATGATTTGCGGTACCACACGGCCTTTATGCATTCCGCTGGAATTTTAACAAGCGTTGAATTTAATAAACCTCATTTTAATTAATGTTACAGTGCGACCACTAATTTAATTAATACAAAACCACGTGAATATGGAAAATGAACTCTTCACAGCTTATTAGTTTTTTGATATATTCTACTTATCTATATTGTTTATTCATTTGTTTACAATAGTATAAAGTTTTAAGTCTAACTGCCACGGTCTCTATCTTAACGGTAAGGAGAGGAGTCCCTTAGTAATAACTCTTATACTAAATCAATGAAAATCACAACAAACCATTAAATCAAGTACAGAATTAACCTACAATCGTAATATTTCATTTGTTTTGTTCTGTAATTCAAGTGTATAATTTCCCTTTTTATAAATTCCAGGGTTTCAAAACTCCAGCGCTTCGCCTAGTGGGCCCCTCACTGATCGTAGCGGGGCTCGCGTGTTGTCTGCTGCGTATTTTGTTTTGCATATTTGCGAAGCCCTGCTGTCGACGACGAACAAACTACAAGGAGAACAGAAGGTAGGATAGAATACATGTAAAATAAGAATAACAAGGAAATTGAAAAAATAAATGTGAACTAGTCCCGCGTAGGCATCGTAATCAGTAAAATATTGGCTCTAGTTTTCTATGTACTCTTGAACAATTATTTTATCAGTGATCTATGTTATATTGTTTGTTGTATTTTACTTTTCAGACTGTCAGGGTGCGGGGTGGGCGCCGCGGGCGAGGGGGAGGAGCTGCC